GAGCCATTAAGTTTTGGGGTAGGTTTGTTATGTAGCAATAGATAACCAGAACAGGCCTAAAGTGCCAACAAATAAGAAATTGTTCTTCGGCCTAGGCTTGTTCTTCCTGAAAATAATTCCCTGGAAAACCCTTGGCAGAGATAGGTATATGGGTTTCACTTTTTTATTTATTTCCACACCAGTATTTTCCTTAGTTGCCTTGCATGGTTGGCACAAAGAACTGGGCAAGGTACAAGACAATAAGTACTCAATCTATGGTGGTTATAGTTCTCCAGGGCGACTTAGAAAAGTCACCACATCTTGCTATATATAGGTATTCAATGACATTTTGGACCCAAACTCCTGTGTGGATTCCTTATTCTGGTGGACTCTCTCTTGGAATCAAGAAAGGCTACTTTTTTGTCTATGGCCTAATGCCTTCACTAAAACCTTGTGAATAGCTTCCTAATCCCTTTCCCACAGACCCCATATCTTGAACATCTTTCAACTTTAATTGCCAGGAGAGATACAGAAAAGACACTTAAGAGAACACGCACCAAGGAAAAGAAGGCACATTTGCTTATAGTATGGCCCTTTTTGTACTCCTACTCTCAGTATTATGACCAAGTGTTCTTATTTTCAGCAGACTTATCTCCTAGCTCCTCTTCCCCAGGGGGTGGAGGGGCTCAAACAAACAAAAAAAGGAATATTGTGAAGGCATAGGAGTAAGCTATTAATCATAACGTTTCTTTAGCTGCGATAATCTGAGATATCCCATTCCCTCTTCCATGGTGGGAAGGAAAAGGTAGAAATGATGGCAAGGTGGGAATGCAAGCTGGTGCAGCCACTCTGGAAAACAGTATGGAGGTTCCTCAAAAAACTAAAAATAGAACTACCCTATGACCCAGCAATTGCACTACCAGGTATTTATCCAAGGGATACAGGTGTGCTGTTTCGAAGGACACATGCACCCAATGTTTATAGCAGCACTATCAACAATCGCCAAAGTATGGAAAGAGCCCAAACGTCCATCGATGGATGAATGGGTAAAGAAGATGTGGTATATATATATATATACAATGGAGTATTACTCGGCAATCAAAAAGAATGAAATCTTGGCATTTGCAACTACGTGGATGGAACTGGAGGGTATTATGCTAAGTGAAATTAGTCAGTCAGAAAAAGCCAAAAATCATATGACTTCACTCATATGAGGACTTTAAGAGACCAAACAGATGAACATAAGGGAAGGGAAACAAAAATAATATAAAAACAAGGAGGGGGACAAAACATAAGAGACTCTTAAATATGGAGAACAAACTGAGGGTTATGGGAGGGGGTGTGGGAGGAGGATGGGCTAAATGGGTAAGGGGCACTAAGGAATCTACTCCTGAAATCAGTGTTGCACTATATGCTAAATAATTTGGATGTAAATGTAAAAAATAATAATAATAAAATTAAAAATTAAAAAAAAAAAGAAATCATGGCAAAGAAGGAAGTAGGAACCAAAAGGAGATGGGATCAGAGAGCAAAAGAAAAAGAACAGGGTGGGGAGAAGGACAGAAAAACAGAAATAATTGGGGAGAATGGTAGGAAATTAGAAATGGGGAAAGAAGGGGAAGAGAGATAGGAATAAGTTTAAAAAAAAAAAGGTGAGAGAGGAGGGAGTGAACGTAGAATGAGATGGGGAAGAGGCTGGAAATACTGGGTGAGGGAAGAGGAAAGGAGCAGTAGAGAGGAAAGAGGCTGGGGGGCAGCCAAACAGAGGCTTCTTTCCCTCCTGTTTGCTATCATTTTCCAACCCTCTGGTCATTCTGTCTTCAACAACTTAGTTCCTCTTTCATAGTTTCTCTGTTTACTCTAATGCTAATTCATGCAGACTGCTTGGATGACAAATCTACCACTTTGGCCACCCAGTTCTAACCACAGGGCATGCTTTCTGCTTCAACCTTCCATTCTCATGGTCTCACCTTGTTTGGGCTCATCCTGGATTTCAACATCATCAAAAACTTACAATTTCCAAACCAAATATCAACTTGTCCAATTCCAAATATCCCACTCAGACCACCAGCATCTGTACTGTCAGTTCACTTGCTCAAGTACCCCGCTGCAGCCATTCTTCAACATCAGTGCTTCTAATGCCTTGGCCCCCTCCTCACTCTCCTCCACGTCCCCACTAGCAGTCCTAATATGCCATAATTGGCTTTCTATATGTTTTTGATTCCATATACATCATCACAAACATTCTCTTGAAAATACCATCTTGGTCCTCTCTCCCTCTGTTGTACTTGCTTGGCAAAAATCCAACCCTGGATGACCTCAAGAATCTGTCTTCTCTCTGCCTGCACCTGAACAAACACCTTCAATGATTTAAAATCCATGATCTCGGGGCGCCTGGGTGGCTCAGTCAGTTGAGTGCCTGACTCTCAGTTTCTGCTCAGGTCGTGATCTCATGGTTTGTGGGTTTCGAGCCCCGTGTCAGGCTCCGCACCAACAATGCGGAGCCTGCTTGGGATGCTCTCTCTTTCTCTCTGTCTCTTTTTTCAAAATAAATAAATAAACCAGGGCCTCTGGGTGGCTCAATCTCTTAAGCATCTGACTTCAGCTCAGGTCAGGATCTCACGGCTCGTGGGTTTGAGCCCTACATCAGGCTCTGTGCTGACAGCTCAGAGCCTGGAGCCTGCTTCAGATTCTGCATCTCCCTCTCACGCTGACCCTCCCCACTCATGCTCTGTGTGTGTGTCTCTCTCTCAAAAATAAATAAACTTAAAAAAATAATAAAATCCATGATCTCAAATACCAAGTGAGCTTTTAATATCACTCAGAAGTCATACTGATTGGTTTTCTTTAGAAAACCAACTTTTCCATTCTCAAAAAAGTGTCTATTTCATATCTTCTCTCCTCAAACATCCTACTTCAAAATCTTTACCTTCATCTAATGTTGCCTTTTCTTTACTGAGAAAATAAAATTTTCAGACAGGAACTCTTCCTACCTTCAAACTTTCCTGAAACTGTGCCCTTCTTGCAATTCCTATTGCCAATTTATGTGTTTGTTTCTTAAGATCTTCTAAGTCATCTAAGGCCCTCCATGTGCCCCTTGGAACCCATCTGATTTTTCTTCTCAAGGGGTTACCTCTCTCCCTTTCTATCAAACCATTCCCAGGAACTTAAATACAAGGTCTAGTATAGCATTGCCCAATAGAACCTTTTTTTCTTTTAAAGTTTATTTATTTTAATTTTTTAAAATGTTTATTTATTTTTGAGAGAGCCAGAGCACGAGCAGGGGAGGGGCAGAGGAAGAGGGAGACACAGAATCTGAAGCAGGTTCCAGATTGTGAGCTGTCAACACAGAGCCCGATATGGGGCTTGAACTCATGAACCATGAGATCATGACCTGAGCCAAAGTCGGATGCTTAACCAACTGAGCCCCCAGGCGTCCCTATTATATACTTAAATGTTTTATTTAATTTTTTGAGGGGGTGGCAAAGAGAGAGAGAGGTGACCGCAGTGAGTCCGGTGTGGGGCTCGAACTCACAAAATGTGAGATCATGAACTGAGCCGAAGTCTGAAGTCGGGCACTCAACCAACAGAGGCACCCACGTGCCTCTTATTTACTTTGGAGAGACAGAGGGGGGAGAGAGAGAGAGAGAGAGAGAGAGAGAGAGAGAGAACAAAGGAGGGCCGCGACAGCGAGAGAGAGAGAATCTCAAGCAGGCTCCACATTGTTGGCGCAGAGCCGGAAGAAGCGCTCCAACTCACCAACTGTGAGATCGTGACCTGAACTGAAATCAAGAGTCAGGCATTTGACAGACTGAGCCACCCAGGCACCCCTAGAACCTTTTGTAGTGGCTACATTCTGTATGTTCACTGTCCAATTCAATTGCCACTACCCCATGTGACCTTTGAGCACTTGAAATTTAGTGTGAACGAAAAACTGAATTTTGTTTTTAATATAATTAATTTAAATCGCCACGTGTGGTTCATTCCTTGGACGCCTTTTCTTCTCCCTTAAGGTTTTTCTCTCACGCAGGCAGGCGAGAACTGGAGTTACAATTAAAGGGCTTCCCACTGCAGTTAGAATGTAACCCCAACTCCTTTCCATAACCAAAGGGCCTGAACGACCTGCCTGGGCCTGACCCCCCCACTTTCCATCCTGTGCCTTATTCCTACAACTCAGGTCTCTCTGGCTTTTTCCAACACAAGCCATTTTAGGGTTTTTTTGCACATGTTCTTCTTGTGGGAACTATCCCAGTCTTTACCTGCTTTCGCTCTTTCCTATGCCCTATGTCTTGGCTTAAATGTTACCTGACTACCGCCTCCAAATTGTATCCATCCTTTGTTATTCTTCCGCTTTTTTCCTTCAAAGCCTGTATCGCTATTTCTTTCTCCCTTCTTTTCTGTCATCTATCTATTCTTCCCTTGGCTTGTTCAGGTCGGCTGCCTCCCCACTGCAACTTAAACTCCTCGCAAACAGACAATAGGTTTTCTCTGTCGTGTGTCGCGTCGCACACTCCAGCACAGGCCTGTCAGACAAGGCGCGCGATGGGGACCTGCGCACAGGACGAACTGCCTGCGGAGGGATGAATGAGCCGGCTGAGGGGCGGGGACTAGTAGG